TGCTAATTAAAAGTGAGTCATTTCAATGCAAGATTTGGAACTTGAAACAAGTATTGGTCTAAACTGGGAACATGGCTATTTTGGGAACTTTGGACTAAAAGCTAATGCTCTAATAGTATGTTGACAATGACCTTTCTTATATTATTTAGATCATTTAATTATTTTCCAAAAAGGAATAAAACACCAAGGACCAAGAACTTCTATTCTTAATGGCTTATCATCTGAAAATGTACCATTAAACATAAAAAAAATTCTATTTAATTTCTAGTGAATGTTTTCCTTAATTTGAAGCTGACATTCTTTTTGAAATACGAATGTGTATACATTCATATACACTAATGTGTATACATTCATAAGTGGACATTATTACTGATGATTAATGTATAAGAATCAGGTGTTCAAGGCCTAACCAGCCTGGACGTACCAATGAGGGCACATTAGTGTCCAAATTATACTGCTTTTTCCCCCCACTTGTACTTACAGAGCCTTAGCAGCCCTCATTTGAATCGGCCTCCTTTGTTTCAGATAGTGTCAGCAACCTGCCTTTCAGATATACCATGAATGTATGCAAATGAATTCTGGGAGTATCAAGTCATCTTAGAGGTTTAGGGAGATCTACCTGGAACTGGTGATACTTGAAAACACTTTCAGGCACAATCATAATCCTCATTCATTGTGTAGTATAGTCTGTCTGTGAAAGATCTTTCTGTTAATTTTTTTCTCATTTTCCTTTTCTCACTCATTTCCCATTTCCTCTTTAAGTATCATTGTAAAAGTCCACACTATTTTTTATGCATATGTTTTTAATTTCTATAAGCAGCACAATGAAGGAAATATCAACGATTTTTAGTTCAGTCTCACAACTATTTTTAAAATCAAGCCATATTGTTGATACGTATTCATAGCATGTATGAATCCACCACATTTTACAAGTGATGAATCTTGGGTTTCTCTAACCCTCAGCCCCACTCTTTGCTAGCATAGCAGTAACCCTCCTTATCCATAATGTTTACAAATTCTGTCTTAGTTACTTTTTACTCCTGGTTACAAAATACCCGATACCCAAAATTAGCAAAGGAAAGGTTTGTTTCTTAGAGTTCTTGGAGTTTCCACTCTGTACTTAGCTGGCTCCAAGGCAGCTTGGCATGGCAGGGATGCCTTCATGGCTGCCACAAACAGCAAGGTGCAAACCAGCAAGAGAGAGAGAGACATACCTCTTTCCCGTCATTAGATCAAATGCTGGCTCCACTCCTATGCAGGTGTAGCACTCACACCACCAATTCAATCAGGAACTAGATTTGGTTGAGTCCATAATTGCATGAGGCTTGGGGGCCACTGATATAAACCATGACAGATGTTTTTGAGAAAACTGTCAGAGCCATATAACCACTGGGTCCTAAGGCTTTCTGAATTATGCTAACTATTCATGAGTTTAAGGATGAACAAAAGTTTCCTAAAATAAAGAGCATAGGAAAGACTATTCCAGCTGGGAAATCAGCAAGGGCAAAAGAGTGAACAAGTGCATTAAAATGGTAGAATCTTGGATTCTAAGTCATTGGAAACAGGAAAGAAAAGGGAGTGGTGATGGGGAACTAGAGAGGTCTCAAGACCAGATCTTCAAAGGTCTTCTATGTCTCTAAACTCAACCAAGTGGTTTAAATACTGAGTCACTAACAAGTGGTAAGTAGGTAAAAAGCTTCTCAGATTTACTGAAGAGGCATCTGCCTGCCCTGTATCTTAATAAGGACATGTGTGAGGAGACACTAATGTGGTCCAAACACCCAAGATAGTGCATCCTTTCCAGAGGAATCTAGAAGCTTCTCCCAATGTGTGCCTCACCCACACTGTGCATGGATGAGTACTAGATAGGGTGGGGATGGAGGAGATGCCTAGATGGCAGTTCACGCAGGTCTAAACTGGGCTTCAAGGGAGAAGGACTGGAGTAGAGAGGATGGAAAGGAAAGAAAGGTGTTTGTAAGAGGGGACAAAAGAAGTGTTGAGGAGAGTCTAATGATCTGCTCTTAGATCAAGTGCCAAAAATGGTGGGGGCAGAACTGGTATCTGGAGGGTTCAATGATGAAAGGTGCCTTCTACGTATGGTAACACAGTTACTCAAATCCTATGTGTACTAACAAGGAAATGATGTGTATAACCCAAACGTCACGACACTACTATTCTTGACTCTCATCTGCCCTTCCTCAGAATCTCTGGTTGCTGCTTTTATTTCTGCCAATAATACAAAACCAAAAACCAAGGGGATTTTTAAAAAAGGCATTATAGGCCAGAATATCTGAGGGCTTTTGAGACCTGCATTTTTTTAGTAACATAAGCAAAAATATCTACCTTGAGGCGTCATATCTCTCACTGGCTTCTAGGACATAGCCCTAAGATCTCTCTTTCTGACTGTGCCTTTGCTGGTTCGACATCCTCCTTCCGAGGCTTCTGAGTCCCAGCTTTATGTTGTCTCTAGATTAAAGAAGTCAAATCTCTCAGTTTGGGACCCCACAGCCCCTCTTCAGCCTGGAATGCCCAGCTCCCCTCAGATTTGTTTACTGAGGTGCCTCCCTTGGATGGCACCTCAAGCTCAGTATGTCAAATAGAAGCATGCATCTTTTCTTCAGGCCCCAAGAAAACATTTTCCCAGCACCATGGCTTTCCTTGTTCCGACTTTGGAGTTACGTAACCAACAGATGTCTCTGTATTGCATCCAAGCTAGCAGCCAACAAATCTCAGGGATCCTTTTTCTGCATTAAGAATTAGCTCTTTTTCCAGTCACTCAAAAGACTAAGCACCTAATACTTCTGCATCAGTTCAAACTTCCCTAATTAGTTGCTTCCATTGTTTTCCTACCACACTGGCTACCCTGCAGACCAATGGTTCTAATAATTTAAAGCTGTTGTACTGATTAGGAACAAAGAAGGATTTGTTAAAGATGAATTCCAAACCTGAGTATAAAGTTTATTAACTGTTTCTATTTTAGCTGTTGTGTTTTCTTACTGTGGAATACATACAGGCATCCCTCAGCATACACAGGGGACTAGTTTAAGAATCTCCCACAGACCCCAAAATTCTTGGATGCTCAAGTCCCTCACATAAAGTGACATAATCCTATGTAAGTACAGTATCTACTGTATATAACCTACACATTGTCCTTATATTTTAATCAGCTTGATTAATTATAACAAATACAATGTAAATGCTATTAAGTTCTCATATTGTTTAGTGAATAACAAAATCATCTGTACCTGTTCAGTGCAAGTGTTTTTTTTCCTTAAATGTTTGGTTGAGTGCTAGGAACTCACAGACTACTGTTCATTCCACTATCCCAGCAACTTTGGGATACAGAGGGCCAACTGTATGCACATTATCTACACAGTTATTAAATTAATACGCTCTAGGCCCTACTGCCTGTCAGGCAAGTAGCTGTGTATCAAGATGTACATGCATATTCACTTATAAATATGAACAGGATATGGGTTGCTGCCATTTTCTGAGAATCATATAGTACTGTACTAGATTTAGATTACCAACACTTAGGGCAATTTAATATTCAAAGAAAAAAGTGCTACAGTAGAGGCAAATCAAGATAGCACAAAAAGCCTGGCATATAGCTCAGCGGTACGGTGCCTGCCTGGCAAACACAAGGTCATGAGTTTGGTTCCTTGTACCAAAAGGAAAAAAACCTCACAAAAGTCCTGAGGAAGGGGTGGCTGGGGATTTAGCTCAGCAGCATAAGCGCCTGATTTGCAAGCAGGTAGTGGTGAGTTTGATCCCTGGTACCGATGAAAAGGAAAAAGACAAAAAAAAAAAAAAAAAAAATCCTTTGGAAGACAACTGGGAAGGAGCAGAATAAAACTTCATAGGTGATAAAAATATGCAGTAGTATACTGACACCTAAGGAAAGTAGGGGTCAAGTACTTAGTGTAGCTTTTCGCATCAGCGAAAGGGAGTTTCTTTCATAGCCACTGAACATATTCTCTTCTCCACAGCTTCTGTGACTCATTATTGCCTTCCACCCTCCCCACCCAAGTCTTTGCTGATGCAAACTCTGCTTTCTCCTAAATTCACTCCAGACTTACTTCCTCCAAGTCCTTCCTGGTTCTTACTTAGCTCTGTGTGTCTCCTCTGGCACTACTCTGTAGGATACAGGTCCTCACACTTAAACGGGTATTTAAATCCCCACTTAACGGTTCAGTAGGTTTACTTCAGGGTCTAGGAATCCACTTCTTACCATGTCATTTGGGCACAAAGGGATCATGAACCTCTTTGAGAAACATGGTTAGTTCTCTGCTGTTAGGTGTGCACACAACCCACTACTCCTAGCAAAGTATATGTATATACTGTTAGGTGGTCTTGCTTTAGTGTATTTCAACCTTGTGTTTATTAAGAGTGAGGCACAGAGGTCAAGTCAGTGCTGTAGACCACCCTCTCCGTTGGAGACTAACTCCTTTTTTTTTTTTTTTTTTTTTTCTTGAGACAGGGTCTCACTTTGTATCCCAGGTAGTCCTGGAACTCACAGCAATCCTCCTGCCTCAGCCTTTTGAGTGCAGGCATTACAGTGTGTGCTACCGTACCCTGCAGACTAACTCCTGAAGCACAAGATCCCCCTTAATGTCAGCAAAATATCAAGAGGAAATGACATATCTATTCTTAAAAAAAAAAAAAAAAAAAAAGAAAACAAAGCACAGCGATCAGACCGTAGGGTGAGTCTCAAATTGCACTTTCAGACACTGACAGAGTTCTTTCTAGACTAATCAGCTTGTAAGAAAGAGGAAAAGCCATTACTCTTGCAGTCACAACCCTAAACGTACGCAGTCCGATAGGTGCGGATAAAAACGAACGCCACTCGAGTCGCCAGCATGACACAAACCAAAGGAGCCCGTCTCGACGGGTAATTGTGCTCTTACGCACGCCAATGCCAGCTTGTGCTCTCGAGACCCAGCCAGCCCCTCTGGCAGGGGCGGGGCCAGGACGCCGGCGACGCGCTGACGTCACGGACGTGAGTACGCCTAACGCGACGTGCGGCCCGGAGCCGTCTGTCGGGGGCAGCTGTGGCTGCCTTCGTTGCGTGAGTGGCGTCCGCGCCCGCCTTCTCAACCCCGCTGTCTCGTCTTCACCCGGGCTTCGGCAGCCCGGCGTCGGCGGTCATGCTGCCTGCGGCGCGCCCTGCGCGGCCCCGCTGAGCCTGGAGCGGCGGCGAGCGCGGCTTGGGGTCACCATGCCTACCCGTGAGTGCCGGGCGGCGGGGCAAGGGGAGTTGGGAGGCTGCGGTGCGCCTGGGCAAGCGGGCGGGCGGGCGGGCGGGGAGAGCGGGAAGTGCTCGCGCGCCGCTGCTGCTCTGGTTTCGTTTCGGGGAAGCCTTTCCAAGGGCGGCGTGAACCCCTTGCACAGATCTGGGGACTGAGGCCAGAGCCTCTAGGGTACCTCTGGGACTCTGGGGTTGGCCTGCGGGACTTTTTAAAAAAAGTTTCGGAGGTTTTCCCAGCCAGCCTTCCAGTTTAATGGAACTTTCTGGAATTACTGGAAATGGGTGCAAGCGGATGCCAGGGCCTTTTCACTCCAGACGTGTCCTTGTGGACGCGTTCCCGGGAGCCCTTCCCGGCCGTCCCAGTCCAAGCCTGTGCTGTCTGAAAGGGAACTTGTTTTGTATGGGTGCTTCAGAGGAGTGCGGCTTCAGATTCGGCTGGGCAGCTTCAGGTTCGGCTGGGCGGCGATTGAAATGCCAGTTTAGAGCACTTGCCCATTGAATTACATTCCGCAGGCGCCTGGACCACAGAATCTGTCTAGTGACCTTTCCGGTGTCACCGAGGGCCCCTAGGGTTGAACATGCTGGGCGTTGGAAGCTTTTTGGACGTATGCGGTCCAAGCGCCCTATTACTAATGACCCGTTTTAAAATGATTCAGATAATCGCAGTGTGACTTTAAACCCAGTGGCCTGTATGGATATGTGAAGGCTTCGTGTTATCTTTACTCCCAGTTTTCCTTACAGGAAACTGAATTTCCAGGTCAGCTTCAAATCCATGTTTTGTTTACTGTGTTTCTTGATATTAGAAAGATTTCTTTAGTAGTAATGATACGTCCTTCATTTTACAGATTACTTTTAATTTTCTTAACCACGGAGTGGATTTTGTTTTGTTTATGTAGTACCTGTGTCGTTAACTCTTTTCGGACTTTGCATCCAGTCAGCAGTTTATATTTCTGTTTTAGTCCTCTAGGTTAGAAGAATATCATTTAACATCATTATTCTTAATATTGTCAGTTTATTATGTCAGAGTTTATGTTCACGGTTTTTAGTGAATATTTGATAAGATTACTGTTTTATGACGGAGTGGAATTGTGCTGCAGATAAGGGTTCTGACATGAGAGGAAGAGTATTTTGCCTTTTCCTTCCTTTGGTGATCCCAGTTGTCAAAGTTGCTGGGATAGTGGAATGAACAGTAGAACCTCCTAGGAGTTGTTTGTAGAATAAATTCCAACCATTAAGCATATAAGCAGAGACTGAAAATTACTATTTTCTTTAGGAATGAGAAAATTTGGTTCAGATAAGCGATCTTATTCTTTAAAATGTTAAATGGTGGAGAGAATTATTTGCAAGCTTTACTTAAAGAGTTTTAGCTAACTAAGTGTAAGACTTTTCTGTAAAATGAAAGGGTTAGAGATGATTGCAATAGTCTTTATGACTCTAGAATTCAGAAAGCATCTCTCCTGGTGGTAGAATTATTTTAATATTGGTATTTTGTTGCTTATTTAGAATAGAGGTACTCAGTCATTGAAATGGGTTCATAAGTAGAATCAAGATGTTGCAGCCAACCGATAGGGTATAGCTATATTAGCTAAACAGTTGTATATCTTATGAATGTTAACATTTGCATCGTTTGAGTTATTTTGGAGAGCCTAAACTCTGAAAAAAGCAACTACATGGTAGGAGGCCTTACAGGAAGTTTCAGGGCACAGGAACCGTTCTCTAGTCTTATCATTCTGTTTTCAGCCTGTAGGGTGAAACAATCACTAGGCACAGATTTCAAGGCCTTGTCACTGAAGGATCTTTTCAACCCTCAAACCTGTAATTTGACACATTTTCCTAAAGCCCTTTATTTCATTTTCTATTCAACAAAGAACCGTTGAGAAGCTTTTGATTGTGTTTTCAAACTCTGAGTCAGTATTAAATTGGAAGAAGTGTTAAAGCATTTCAATCCAATCATTTTATTTTTGCAAGTCAGGAGACTGAGATTTGGTGAGTTTTAATGACTTCTCTGGGGACACATGTGGAGTAGAATCTGGCAAAGAATACAGATGTGTGCTTTATAATCAGTGACCACAATAAGCATAGATGTAGTACTGTGTTAGCACTAAGTCCATAATAGTTTAGCTTCCTGCCCCTGTGGGTTATATTAAGACAAACATGAGTTTGATTAGAATTTAAATCAGAATTTCTAATGCTGTGCCAGGGATTAGTCCAGCTGCACAGTCAGTGCCTGCCTGGCAAGATCAAGGTTCTGAGTTCCATTCGTTGAACAAAAAAAAAAAAAAAAAGAAAAGAAAAAGAAAATTAGTATGCTTGCAAGAATTTCTTCTTCTTCTTCTTTTTCCTCTTCTTCCTCCTCTTCCTCCTCCTTGTCCTCTTCCTCCTCCTCTTCTTTTTCTTTTTTTCTTCAAAGTTTTGGGGATCAAACTTAGGGTCTGAGCGTGTTCTTCAAGGACTCTACCACTAGGCTGAGAAAGCTTAACATTTTCCTTGGCTTCCACCTTCTCGCAGGAACTTGTGGGGAGGCTGCAGATTCCATGGTGTGCTGGATAGATGCTTGGTTATACAGGATAAAGGTAAACTTTTTCTTGAAGCACTTGAATGGGAGGGGCGGCTGAGTTTGCAAATAATGCACCTGAAAACCAGTCTAGTAAAATGTGCTTTTATTCTGCATGAAAAGTTATTACATGTTGGGCAGAGAAACCAAATGCTTTACCACTCTTTGTTATTAAACTGTGTTTTGCAGTAATCATATGGGGTTATTTTCTATTCTCATTTGAATATGGATATTGATAGTGGTCATACTTATTAGATGTGGTAATGTGGTCACTTCATATTTGGTTTGGAGTTTTTCTCCTGAATGAGGCTAATTAACTCTTTTTTCAGTCCATTCTTATGGAAAGAAGTGCAGAAAGAATTGTGTTGTGTGAAGTGTTTCCTTATTTATGTGCAGACTTGTTCTATACAATCATATTACTGCCTTTTGTTTTCATTCTTTCCTTCCCCCATTTCTTCCCTTTTTCCTTCTTCCCTTCACCTTCTTTTTTCCCTTCTTCCCCACGTACTACCTCATGTCCTGCCAATAATTGAAGCTGACCTTTGGCTTGATATTACTTTGGTTGCTGCTGAGGTCTTATGTCTTAATCTGCCCTACTTTTGGGGACATACAGCTGCATCAGAGATTACATAGAAATGAGATTAGGCTGTAGGAGAGGGGAGCTTGACTTTGAAAGGTTTTATGTGCTATGAATAGAAGAAGCTGCTAATTTGATTGAAAGCATATGCAAGCTGTCGAAGTCATAATTACACTGGCTATTTTACAGGCATTCTAGCAGTTTCTGATCTGTTGGTTACTTTATGAAGAATTATAGTTTGCTATTAGTATTAGGAACTAAATATTGAATACTGAGGATTTGTATTCTATTGAGTATTTATGCTTTTTATGAATTGTGTTATTTAACTCTCATACTTGCAGGGAGGCTATATTTGATGTGCTTTAGAAATGACAAGATTGAGGTTCAGATATTTTCATCATATTTCTAAATCATATAGTACTTCTGTATGAACAGCATTTTCCTTACAGGCCCCATTTTTATATAGAGGAGGTCTGTCTCCTTTAGAAACTCTAGTAGGAAACACTTTCGTTCTTCAGTGGTAGTACAAAGGTTTTTATTGATATTGACTTGGAGGGGGCCTATATATATATGCCTGTTAAATAAACGAATAAAGATAATATATTTTTACACAATACAGTACTATTCTGCCATAAAGATAAACTTAAGACACATCAGTAAATGGATGCATCTTGAGACCCAAATATTAAGTAAAATAAATCACACAAGCTTAAATATTGTATGGTTTTTGTTCTATGAGAAACTCAAATTTATGAGCAAAAAGCAAAGTAGGGAGATCTTTGACAAACTGGAAGGAGAAAAAGAAATGGAGCATGAAGGTATGGGGAGAGGTAGGGAATGTAAAAGGAATTAATACATGTTGGGTACATGTACCAACTCCCCACAAATGTAATTGTTGTGTACTACAAACATGTACTAATTTGAAAAAAAATTGAGAATGTACAGAAAATCCCATTATGGTGTGTAACAGCTTTAGGAAGTAAGGGTGGACCAGAAAATAGAACATAAGCTATTATGCTGCATTAAGGGTCTTAGACATTTTTGCTGACTAAATTCAGATGAAATCCAGAATTCTCCCGGAAAAAAAGTAGGTTTTCGTATAGTTTGCACACAAATTTTATACATAATTTGAAGTGATTCAGAGTGACACTGATTGAGATGGACCCATTGGAAAAAGTTTATTACCTGAGTGACAGTTAAGAACGTAGTTGACACTAGAGTTATGAACTCAGTTGGTTTGTTGGGCTGGTAGTAACTCAAGTTGGTTGTAAGTCAAGACTATTTTTTCAAATAATGGAAATACCCATAATGTGTTGTGAATCTCCCAAAGCACCCCTTAACTAACCTTTTCGTAATAAAGTTATATAATGTGCATAGTTTGCCAGAAACACCGGTATTTTTCCTAGCATAACCAAAAAGTTATAAAATGTACATAGTTTACCAGAAACACCAATTCTGTACCGTACTTGCCATTCCGAATAACCTCTTAGCTCTCAGGAAGGGAGGGTGAGATGAAAGGTGGTGGTGGTTTGGAAGGAGGGTCCCTTCTCTAAGAACGTCCGGAATCTGGCTCTGTGTGTCCTTTCTCTCCTTGGAAGGACCTGCTTCTAGTCACAGGGTCTCAACCATTTCACAACTAAAACTGGTCTTAGTTTGTCTGTTTTTCTTTCTTTAACACTGTTGTGTAGCATGCCATGACACTGTCATTGAGCAAGTGAGTAGAATGATTGGCCTTTTCTCTAGGTGGGTCTTCTCTACAGATGTGTGTGGCTCTGTCCATGTTTCAGGGTTCCTTTGTTTCAGAAGAGCTTTGCTGCTGCGATTGTTGGCACTCCCCCTCCTCTTCAGA